ACAGATACCATCTACGAAAACGACATTGTCACGGATGCTTACATGGAAGACATACTCTTGTTGGTCCAAAAAGACGTTATAGTAATTATAAATAATATTCTTATTTTTAAATCATACATTATCTAAATAATATATTATTTTTTATTGCGCACAATTTTTTTAACACTTAATTGTAACTTAAATGTTCATGAAAACGTGGTCAATATAATATTTCTAATATATATATATATTAGGATGTCCCTTATTTTGAAAATTTTGGAAATTCTCCGGGCTCACCCCACATATTTGTGTTTATACATATAAAAAGAGGCTACAAAAAATTTCAGGCCTATCAGATAAGTTTAACCCGTGCCGATTTGGGGTTGAAAATCGGCCAAAAGGGGTACTTTTTTAGTTTTTAGCAATTAACTTATAAATTAGTGCTCTCACAAAAAAAAATATTAAAACTGAATTGTAGATCTAATTGTTTTGTATAAATTAAGTTCTTACAGTTTTTCTGTTAAATCCATTAGTTTTTTAGAAAAATGTCAAAATACATAATATTTTGTTAAATTGCCGAAATTGTTATATTTACGAATATTTCATCATATATGACAAACCATATGTGATACGACCTAATGTTTCATATAAAAATTGTTTAAAATTAAATTTTACGAAATAAAAATAATAAGTACAAATTTCATTGAAGCCATCGTTTTATTGCTATAGCTGAAATAGTTCGATCATATTACGATTTTTATATTACATATTTATCATATTACAAATTTTGTTTAACGCTGCTTTCGCAATTAACGGTTGTTCATTTTCATATAACTTTAATTCTTTGATAAAATTTAAGTCGTTATTCGGAGCTTTGGACGGTTTAGTACAGTTAAACCAGGCTTTTAAATAAAATCGATCAATAAAAATACATATATCTCGAATAGCATTTATTTCAAAAGTTTTTAGTAAATATTGTTTTCGGTATAAATAAATTTTTAAGCAATATATTGCTCTACTCATCCAACGAGCTTGGTGCATAGCTCCAGAATGGTATATTTTAATTTTTTTATCTGAGTCACCATCTAAAAAAATTAAAGATAGCTCAAACAATTCTTTACAATCATCTCTAAAACATCCGATTTGCAACATATCCCTAGAAAACTGGAGAATATCATTTCGATAATTTACAAGTGCAGAGCAACATTCGACGTCATCTATTGCACAGATCGTATTAGAAACATCAATATTATTCCAATTTTTTTTAAAGTTTTTAAATATGAGAATATCAAGGCTCAATGTTACCTGAGAAAGTTTTGTTTCGAAAACACCGCGTAAAATCAGTTCATATATATGGTGGCGACAAATAAATACAATAAATATTTATCTAATTTTTGATCAATTGCTGCGATTTGTAATACATTTACGATTTCCAAAGTTATTTATAAATTAAAAATAATAACAATACATTAATCCAGTCATACCATTATTTTCGCTGTACTTGCACGTAAGTGTTGTAATGTACCAGATGATAACTAACAGAATCTAGCAATAAAATTCATATATTTAGTAAAAATCGTAATATGATCGAACTTCACGTTGGGCATCGGAAATGCGTTACCCACTGTTAAGCTGTTCAGTTTTCGGATGTCCACTACTACTCAATGCTTCTGATCTTCTGTTGCATCGATTTTCTTAGGAACTATAAGCAGCGGCGCATTCCACAGGCTTTTCTTGTGGAAAAGGCATTTCCACAGTCGAAATGGTCGTTGATGTATGGGAGGGCTAACTCCCGGCGTCTTGATCTCATGTTGCACATCTTCTGTATAATTGATATTACCACCATACAGATTAAAAATATCCGCGTATTCGTTACAAATAGCTTCTACTTCTAAATAGTGCTCCTCTTTATTTATATGGTCTGAGCGCAGTGACTGTTTTAACAGTTCTATCCGGCTATGTTGATTGACTGAATGACGTGGTGCTAGAAATGATTTTGTTTTTCGCATGATTTCGTACGATAGATTCTCGAAATGTCATTTTTCTAATTTAAAAGGTTCTTCGTTAGCTGTAAGAACAGTTATAGAAATTAATGTTGAAGGAAGAAGAGGTAGATGAAGACCAAAAAAGAGATCGGGAGATGTTATTAAATGCGATATAAGGACAGCTGATGTGAGGGTAGACGATGTGGCAGATCGTGTCAAGTGGAAGTTTAGGATAAGGGTGGCCGACCACAAGTAGTTGGGATTAAGGCGAGGAAGAATAAGAAAAAGTTCTTCGTTTGATTTAGCCATACATATTAAAGTGCGTCCATTTTTTATAGAGTTTAATACATTTCCGCAGTATACATCTTCAGAAAGTTATTGAGCATGTATCAACACATCTTGGTTATTTCCAATAATGTTTGTGGTACACACCGGCATAACTACCTCACTTCGCGCTGGTACGATGAATTCGCTGTCCATCACATTCGATGTGAGTACGCCCTCTGCAAGATTTATTACGGTATTTGTTTCCTAAAAAAAAAGGTCGCCCTATTACTTCATCTTGTGGTACTGGAAAAGTGTTAAGTACGACTTGGAATATTGCCTTCTGAATGATGTCGCCCATGTGTATGTCTATATGAACTGAATAAGCGGAACCTAGTGTTTTGACAAGGTTTTACCTTGTTACAATTATGTATCTATAACATTAACTTAGATATCATCTGTTAAAAAATAAAGTTAAATTCAGCTCCAGTGTCGATTAATAGATCGGAATTATTTTTCTGACACTGGGGAACATGGATTTTTCTAACTTCAGCATTATAGTCAGGATTGGCTTGTAGTTTTAAGTCACGTACCATCCGTTCACTCTTGACGGTCGGCCATTCCTCGTTTCCCAAACTATTTGAACTAAACCCTTCTCGTTTATTCTTGTTTCGGCAGACGCTTATGTCATTATAACGGAAGTATAGCTTGCTATTGTGGTTACCTTCTCTTTTGTCTGTTGCTTCAGTCTTTACGATTGACGACGTGGAAGGTCCCGCTGTTACCTTATTTATATAATTGAATTTTTTTGATCGGTAGTTCTTAGTATTGTGTATATTGGTTTTACAATAACTGCAAAACTTGTATTTTACACTACTGTTGAATTTTGTATTTTTAAAGATACGTCGTGCCTCCTTAGCTGATTGATAGATTATTGTAGGCAGATTATAGTTTTAATATATATGGTATTATGTGAGTTTAGTAATAAACTATAATAATTAATGTTATTTATATGTATACACATATATATATTCTTTTATATTTTTGTTATTATTATTATTTTTGTTGTAAACCTACTTTTGAATTATAGCTAAAATTACTTTACTGTGAAAGTATCCAATATGAAAAGGTAAAATCACAATCTCCTCTTTTTTTTTTAAATAAAAAAAATAATCACCACAATACCTAATAAGAAACGTGATAATGTTATTACTTTGTTATACTATAGTAACAGTCAAAATAAATATTAATAATAAATTAATAATTAATATTTAACATAATTCAACATAGAAATAATATATTTTTATATTATTTTTAAACAGTTATTTAAATGTATGATTAAACAATATAAGTATATGTTTTTTTTTACTTATAATTTTTTTTTATGGCATCACTCACATTTTTTATGTCTTCATCGAAATGGTGTTGAATGAAAGTTGTTGAAGGTTGGTTAGATTGAGTCGCATCTCGGGACTATCAGGTTCAGTTTGAATGGTATCCCTTCTCGGCACAGCCCGTAGGTCCGTCTCTTCACAGGATTTATGGACTAACCCCACACCTGACATCAGCTTTGTTGTGATCTCGGTTTGTTCCGCTGTCACAGATTACTTGGGTTAGTCTTACCGTGTGTGAGTTGTCAGCGAGAGGTGTCGAGTCGTCTGTTGTACAATTGTTGACGCAATTAACTCGAAGTATCGTAGTTTAGATCATAAACTTATTTAGAAGGATTTAAGAAACAAAATCAGTACTTAATATTTATTAATAGTTTATTTTAATTGACATAGATGGATCTTAATAATAATCTATACAATAGATATTAATAGTACAGCAACAAAACTACGACTTATTTTTTATTAAAATATTTGACTCGAATATGCACAAGTCGAGTGGTCATCTATGTGCTGGATCAGTAAGACTTGTTATTATTGCACTTACAGTATGCTCCTTTGTTGAATTAACCTTATTTAATCATCGAAACCCTAAAGAGGATTGAGTTCAAAACTTATAACATACTACATTATTCGAAATTTTATTAAACAAAGTTAAAAATTATGTTAGCAATATATCCGATTTTCGAACAAAAATTCTTCTAACTGAATTTATAATTATGTCTACGACTAGTTGGGTTTAAATAAATAAATAATTCTTTATTTATTAACTAAGATTAGAAACTAGGTGGCGGTCTAGTGGATTAAAACGTATGTTTCGGCGCATTGGGTTCAGGGTTCAATTCCTAGGGTACCAACGAGATTTTTCTTGTGATTTTCTCATTGATGGTGTCTGGTCGCTAGTGCAAGCCAGCCATAAGATGGAATCTTAGGTATATTTTTAATGATAACGCCAACGTTAAATATAATAATTAGATAATATCCACAATTATACTAAATACTAGACAAAAACGATAAAATATATAGATCGATATAATACGTATGTCGGTACAGATCGCTTTATTATGCCGGTAGGAAGTAAAGTAAAAGTCCATCGCCGGATCGGTTCGTGACACCCGCGGTTACTTGGTATCACGCGACCTCTCGGACGAGGAGAGGTGGCTGTGTCGCAGTCGCCATCCAGCGGTAAAGCAGAAAGTGTGATGCGACCGCGTCATATACCCGTCCTATCCATTTTTGACTCCCCAACATATAAAAGAGGGTCACCAACTTCTGGAGCATGTTAAGCTCGGGAAATTGAAGGATGTAAAACTGATTTTATTTATTTATAATTAACTACCAATTAATTTAGTTTTAAAATATCTATACATCTTATTTGTTTTAGGAACTATGGCAAGGAAGACTGAATTGGGCTGGCTGGAAAACTCTTTTAATGTTTCTAGGATTTATTACCTGTCCACCACTCTGGATAATATTCACATTACCATTATGGCACAGTTATAATAAAGTGCCAATTATAAAATTTATGTCTTATTTGACATCACATGTGTACCTTATGCTTTTATTACAAATGGTCGCCATAACACCTTATTACAGATCAGCGCGATATAACTTATTTCCATATTGGTACGAATGGTTACTTTTAGTAAGTATCGAATATTTGTATGTAATTTTTTCTAAACAAGAATATTGATAAGCCGTATGTTTTAGGTTTGGCTAAGTGGCTTGTTATTGTTCGAGCTAACAAATCCTAGTGATAAAAGTGGATTGGGTTGGGTCAAGTTGGCTGTACTTTTATTGAGTGTCATAGGAGTAGCATTTCATTTAGCTGGATTTTTTGGTGTTATCCCACAAAGGTTCCTTTCTACTGCTATGTATCTCAGAAATCAAATGTTTGCACTGTCATTTTTAATGGCTTGTGTTCAAATATTAGATTTTTTGTCATTTCATCACTTATTCGGTCCTTGGGCAATAATAATTGGTGATCTTATGAAAGATTTGGCAAGATTTTTAGTGGTTCTTAGTATATTTGTACTTGGATTTTCCATGTTAGTTGTAGCAATAAACCATCCTAATCGTAATAGTTTAAAGAAAAATTCAAATTCGTCACCATTTTCAGAAGGTTTGAAAGTTAATCTATATATATTTAATGTAAAAATAGAGTAAATAAATACATTTGTGTTTATATAGTTTACATCAGTCCAGTGATAGCATTTGAGCAGTTATTTTTTGCTGTATTTGGGATGGCTGGCTGGGAAAGTTTAAGAAAAATACCAGAAGAAAAACAAGATGATTGGACTGTTTATATGTATAAAGGTGTACTTGGTATTTATATGTTAGTGTCAGTAGTAGTTTTAATTAATCTACTAATTGCTATGATGAGTGACACTTATCAAAGAATTCAGGTAAACATCTACGATAAATTAAACTAAAAATAATAATAAATATTTATTGAATGTCGCCCTACTTTTGGCTATAAAAAAATTAATTTATATAATTAGGCACAATCAGATATAGAATGGAAATTCGGATTAGCTAAATTAATTAGAAATATGCATAGAACAACTACAACACCATCTCCTTTAAATTTAATCACCACCTGGTTTATGTATTTGTTAGAAATATGTCAAAAAAGAGGTATATAAGTCATTTAATTAAAATATGATACAACTAACTTAAAGTAATGTTTTTTATTTTATTTTGCAAACCAGTTAAACAGAAAAAACGTCCTAGCTTATCACAAATGGTTGATTTAAAAACTAAAGGACGAATGAGTGCAAGAACACGAATGGGTAACAAATGGTTATCTAAAGTAAAAAAAGCTCAAGTAGTTCCTAGAGGTGATCATATTATAATTATAATAATCTTTATATAACTATTTATATTAACACCACACAACTAATTTCCTAGTTAAATTTAAGTGCAAGTTGAAAATAATTATACCTAGTCGAATATAGTGACATTATTTTTAGCTTTGATACAAAACTGAGAATGTATTGGTTTTGTGATGGTGTTTTTTCATGTCTGTCCATCAAAATTTTTAGCTATCACTGAACCGATTTTAATTATCAATACCTCTAAAGAACCCAATTTTAATCTAGTTGACCTTAATAGTGCTGAAATTAAAAAAAAATCTCCTTAATTCTAAAAATTTAAACAAATAGCTTAAAATTATGTTTTTGTAAAAACTGACAGAAAACAGAACTTGTCAAGTCAAATAAAATCTTTTCAAGACATTTTAGTATTAAAATTTACTATGAATACCCATACAAAAAAATTACCTACTGGTTTTAAACTCAATCAACCCCAATCTCATAAAATAAAAAGGGGCTGTAGACTTCAATCGGGTTAGTGGATCCCAAATATATACCACTACTCTTGAAAATTTTTTTTTTCAAAATTAAAATAATAATATCAACAATTATTACCGAAAAACTTAAAAGATTTGGCAACACATAAAAATTGTTTAAGAAAAAATACAATTGTTTTTGTAATAACAAATATCAAATTAGGAAATAATAAAAGTAATTTCTGCTACAGAGTCTATGTCAGTGAGCGTGGTACATTTAAGTCCATATGGCTCACAAATTAGTTTTTCAAGTGTGACTAATCGAATTGAAACTGTAACCGATTGGGATGCAATAGCAAAAAAATATAGAGCACTTCAAGGTGCTAGTGAAAATGATGACAAAGATGATCCAAAAGCATCTAATGCTTCTATGGAACGTTTGACAAGGAGTAATAGCGAAGCACAACCTGATCTTGCACTACATATACCTAATAATGTAGTTAATTTACCATAAAAAATTTGATAATTGTAATATAATATTTAGGTAATAATTATTTTTGTACTGATTAAAATACATGAAATATGAAATTCATAATTTTATAAAGTCTTTATGAAAAAGTTCTTATAGTATATCTTTAAATTGAAAAATACATTACTTTATTATTTATTGTTAATTTTTTTTATAAATAATACAATTTTGTAATATAAAGAAATTTAACAGTTACTGTATACACAGGCACATAATTTTACAATGAATCAATGTAGACTCTATACAAATGTTAAATATTTTTTCCTAATATTTTAACAAAAATATTAATGATGTTTTAATTTACATAAAAATCTAGTAACATATTTTATTGTAAATCTGAAATAACAGCTGATATTGTAAGGAACTAGAATCAAAACAGAATAAAAATATTAAGTATTTTTAGTTGTTATGACACATCACTTGGTCATAAAACAACCAAATATCAGATTGCAGAGTATACTATTTTAGTTAAAAATTTACTGTAAAAAGTAAAATTTTAATTAAAATAGCATTGGTGACGATATGGACTAATAATTATTAATCCTACCTTGTCACCCCAGTAAAATTATAAACAAAACAATTTTGACCACTGGAAATCTAATAAGAAATATGTAATCAATATTTATTTTTATTGTTATCACTAATATCTAAGGTATTAATGGACAAGAAATTATGCAGTATTTAATTTAGAAAATGTAGTAAAATTTTGTGTTTTAAGTGTTTTCTGCACCATGTAACGCCATACCTATTAGTTAAAATTATCTATCTATAATTATCAAGGGCTATATATGATCTAAATTGTCCAATTACAAAAGTTAAATAAGTAATAAATGATTAATTAATGAATTTTGATTTGAGTAGGCTACTTACTTTTGTTATTGTATTGAATGTGACAATAGCACTCTGTTGATTAATTATACACGGTAAAAAAATATCAAGTTCATATTTAGGATTCTTTTTTGTACTTAAAATCAAACAATCTTCACCACATTTAACATCTATATCTAGCACATAATTCTAAACCAACAAATTATAATTTTTACATTTTGTTTTAATTACAAATTATATCGTATTAAAATACTCACAATATCTGGAAGCCATACATCAATTATTAAATTTTTGGGATCTTTTTCTGGATGTTGGTACATCTTGTATTCTGGTTTTAAATGTATTTCTAGTTGAGAACAAGATATTTTTGAATCTAACTCCTGAATTAAAGGCTTTTTTTTAATAGATGATGGCCTAGGAAGTCGTTTTTGAATTCTATGCTGTTGTAGAGTGCCAATACACTTTCTATTTTTTAATATAATTGGATCTGTGCAATGAAAATAAAAAATAAAATTTTTATTTATACCTAATAATACTCTTATATAAAATAAAACAACATTTTATTAGTTAATTTAAAACAAAACCTTACAAACAAAATAAGTACATAATCCTAAATTAATCTAAGTAATTCTATGTGACAGGTTTGAATATTTGTTTTTAGGCATTTTTTCTACATTTTGTAAGTGTGTGCCTAACAGTAACCCTCACTTTGCATATTTTGCAAACTGATGATTCCTTTTCCTCTAAAAAGTATCAATAAATGAATTTTATATGTCCTGTGCAAAGTTTCTATATTACAGGGCTATCTCTTCTTAATAGCTGTGTGATTTTGTTGGAGTATATTGAGATTTTGTTAAGTTTTTAAAGTAAATTAACAGATTAGTGTTTTCTTTTTTTTAAGATTTGCTAGTTTTAAGTATTTGTTGAGTTGAAGATTCCAGGATGCCATTGAGAGTGGTTCAACTCTTATTATCTGTACTAATATTATATGGATTTTTTTTTTGCTTGTTTAAAATTTTAATCTATATATATTTTGGGTTCTATATGTTTCTCAATATTCTAGCTGTATAAAAGGATTATTTTCTGCTTCTGAATTGGTATATTTCTTGTTTGACATATTTTACTAAATATATTATGTGTATATTGTCTCGTTTTTATTCCCAATTTTTGTAAGAAAATATATTTTATTTTGTCAAAGCTAGAGATTTTGCTAGAGCATTTGCTTTATTTTAGTTTAAATTTTATTACAATATAACAATTGTTATTGTGTGCTTATTTTCTTCTGGGATGTTGATTTACTGAACGAGTTTTTTGTCATATGTACTGTTACTTGAGTTCTTAAAAATGAAGATATAATTTATCAGCTATTTTCTTTTAGATTGTCATGATAGTCTGGTTATCTTGTAGATAAACAAATATTTTTTTATTTAGCTTAAATGATACCTATATCATAATTTCAATCATTGATTGGTAGTTAAGGTTACAATCTGAAAGATTTAAAGTCATGTCATACTTGCTATCTTTGCTTTGAAAGAATTCAATGATAATTTTGAATAGATTAAAATTGATGGTAATTTTTGGATAATTTTCTACATATTACCATTGCAGGATAGATTTTCAAAAATATTTCGACAGAGTTCAGCAGAGCTTGTTTTTTGTTAGACAGGTTATCAATGTTAATTTGATATTTTGCTGCTTTCTTGTAGAGTGGTTTGTAAGAGAGTGATGAGATTGATCAAGTAGGGGTTGGGGTACATATTTTAGTTGAAATAATAGGTCCAGGAAAACTAATTTTATCACTAATATCCATATAAATTATTTTATATTTATTGATTGTCAATAATAGTTTCAGTTATATATTTATGATATATATCTATTTGATTGTTATCTATAGAATCAAAAGTATTATCTGTATTTTGTTAATCAGTACTATTTCCTCAATTGTTTGAAAAATGAATTTTTAACTTAAATAAATAGCAAAATGTAGTGTCATTGGGGGAAAAAATTCTGAATAGTGTGCCTTTTGATATTTATGTGAACTGGTTATTGTTATTACCACTCAGAGGTATCTTTTTTTATAGTTAAATCAGTTATATACTAGAAACACATGTATTGACTTATTCATGTCACCTCAGCCTGTACATATAACATTCATAGTAAATTGCTGTGGAGTCGGGAAGTTTAGAGATTTATAAAAATAATATTATATATTGAAATCGTCACTTAAGGGAATATAAAAAAAATTATCTTAACAATAATATAATGGTTTAGTTATAGAATAATCAATTTTTAGATTAACAAATAATTAAAGTATTATACTTTCAGAGCTGATTTCTAATTTGAATTTTTCAGCAATCCCTTCTAATGTAGCAGATACAATAAATGTTTGGAATAATTCATTGTTTTGACATTTCCTGAAAAAATTCGAGTTGACAGCCACATCAAAGGCTTTAACTGGTGTATTCGCTGTAAAATTATTAAGTATCATTTTTTAGTTAAAAACAATGATTAAATAATTGTAAAGCTATAAATTTAGGAGTTTCTATTAAAAAATAAAGTGGGCTACAAAAAGTAAATTTTTTAAGTGAAAGAAAAATATTTTTTATAAATAAAAATTTTTCTATAAAAATAAAATCATACATATTTAAGCAAAACAAAAATCATGAAAATAAAAAAATTACATTTATCAATTTCATTATGTTCTGTGCCAATACTTAATGGAACACAGTAACGTTCAGGATCTTTAGAATTAAGTACTTCAATTAATTCTTCCTGTGAAATATCTTCTGGTGGTGGAATTTCAGCATGATGACATAAATTTATAAATATCTTGGACTTATCATCAATTTTAAAAGTCTTTATGCAAAATCCTATAAAATCATAAAAATATATGGAATAAATCAATAGTAAAATGGTCAATGAATAAATTAATAAATATTTGGTTTACATTCAAAAGCTAAAAAGTTACAAAAATGGAATTTTAGGATTATTAATGTCATAAATCAGTGTAATTTTAGGGGATATATTTTCCCTGCATTCTTAAAAATATCTAAGGGGGCAAAAGTATTTTGTAAGCTATATAAAGATATGTCATTAAGTTAACTACATAAATTAAAATTGTGTATAAACTAATTTATTAACTATTTTAGTTTATTTGAAGATTGTACTGGCTACAATTGTAGCGAGTAAAGTAACCCGGGAGTAAGTAGATTAAAAGTACTAAACTTCTCTTCATTGAATATGTAAAACATACATTTAAGATAAAAACAAAGGACAACAAATATTTTTTTAGTATTCTCTAGGGATATTCCGAGTAGTAAATACACATACTGATTGAGAACCAAGTAAAAGTCGGGCAAAATGTGCTTACAAACCGATTACTATGTATAAAACAAATTTTCAGCATTAATGAAATAAAATGATCAAAATATTAAAATTCTATTATTCCCTCTTCATTTAAGTTAAAACAAAATATAGGCACAGAGTGATATGTTGAAACCTCCACGTATTCAGATTTTGCACTCCTAAAAATTAAAAAATCTTGTGTTTTTAAAATATATATATTTTAAAAAGAAAAAAATGAAATTTGAATCCAATATATGCCTTAAAAAAATTTCTTTTCTTCTTTATTCATAATTTTATTAAATACAACACAACATTACTTATTAACGCTACTTGCACTGAATGACAAGGAAATAAATACACATAGGTATATTACATATAATTTTTACAGGTTATCTAACCAGCTATTTATAAACATAGATAAATTTTATGTTTCTTGGAAGATAAAATAACTGTAACATTTCTATTTATTCAATTAATAATAAAGTAATATGATATCTGACAGTGATTAAAATCACTATCATAAGAAATGCTTCGATGATAGTGTTTCCTTTAGAGAAATTGGTAGATTATTTCAAAAGCAACATCAACTCTTATTTCTTTGATTATATCCTGATTAGTAGTTCTTTGATTTTAAAATATAATATATGAAAAAATACTAATTATAGTTTTTAAATTTAGTATGAAATTGTAAGGCCAGCTATGATATATGGGTCATAGTGTTGGGCGGTTCATAAGAAAGTAGAGCAGAGAATAAGTGTAATAGAGATTAGAATGCTTAGTTGGATGAGTGGAGTGACTAGAGAAGATAAAATAAGGAACGAGTATATAAGAGTGAGTATAGGTTTAGTAATGTTATGAGGAGAGAGGAATCGGAAGCTCAAAGAACAGTTATAGAAATGAATGTTGAAGGAAGAAGAGATAGAGGAAGACCAAAAAAGAGATGGAGGGATGCTATTGAATGCGATTTGAGGACAGCTGATGTGAGCGTAGAAGATGTGGGAGACCCCAAGTATTTGGGATTAAGGCAGAGAAAAAGATAAAGATTACCAGAATATCCGGTGGCTATTGACATAATATGATTGTTGTTGGGAATGTACAATTTAACGTTTAGTTGGCTTTAAACAATATAGCGTCAAATCAATTACCTACTCTATCGCTTGTATATTAATATACACTACACTTTAATGATACAATAAATAAATAAAATCACACATACACACATATGCATTTATAACATTGTGTCTAATGTAAGTATAACATGATAAAAAAAAAACGTAAAATTAAAAAAATGGAATATAAATTTTAGTAGTCAAATTAAATGTAATGTAACTCGAAAAATATTTGTTTAAATGAAAAAATATAAGATAATTTTTTTGTTTATAATAGTCTTTTAAACAACTTTTGTACAAAATTTTTTTTTGTAAGTTAAATATTTTTTGAAAAAATTAAAAAAGCTCATATTTTTTAACTTTTGCGAGGCTGTAAAAAAAAAAGCTCAATTCCAATCAATGAGGACTATTAGTATGTCATTATACATATTTTAATTCAAATTTTAAAAAAACAAAATTTGGTTGGGAATTTTTTCCGCAATTATTCCTTTGTTGACTGGCCTAGATGTCAATTTTAAACTTATAATTGAGCTAAAAGTTATGATTCAATTTTTTTTACTTTAAACTTTCATAAATCTTTATCAAAAATTTTTCATCAACTTTAAAGAACCAAAAAAAATATGTTAAAATTGAAAATTTGGACTGATTATTTTTTAACATATTAAAAATCAAATCAGTAATAATTTGAAAACAAATTTTTTTTTTCTTTTAATTATTATTTTATACATAATTTGTAGTAATATAAAAAGTTAGAAGTGATAGAAATAGTCTACTTGCAGATTTGAAAACAACGCGAAAAGTTGATTTAGAAAAGTATATTTTTATTTCTGATGAAAATTCCTTGTAGTCCTGTGCATTTTTTTATAGTAACAAACAGTTTTTATTGAAAATTATTGTATCAAGCCCTTTAAATTTTTATACACGTAAAAGTAAAGCAAAATATAACTTCTTTATTATTTTTATAATTTCTCCGTTTAAATTACAATATTAAATATCAATTTCATACTAAATTTAATAATTATAATTAGTATATATTCATATATTATATTTTAAAATCAAAGAACTACTAATCATGATATAATTAAAGAAATAAGAGTTGATGTTGCTTTTGGAATAATCCACCAATTGCCTAATTAAAAAAAAAAAAAAAAAAGTTTGTTGGGAATTTTTTCTGCTATTCTCCAAAATTACTCCTTCGTTGACTAGAATGAATCATTAAATAGAAAATTTGATGAGAATTAAAACAATGTTATTTTTAAGATTAATATGCAGTCAGGAAATTTTATAATTACTATACAGAGTGGCCCACCACTCACTGACAACTTAAATAACTTTTGATCCAGTTAATATTTTTAGTTGATTTTTTTTTTAAATAATAATTATACGTTAGGTCTATAGCTATATCTCAATAATTAATTTTTTTACATTTTATTAAAAATATTAAGTATTTTAAAATTTTAAATAAAATGTACAAAAAAAAATCTAAGATGGCTATTTTGTAGAGTAGAATTTAAGAAAAATTTTAATAAAAAAATATCTTATTAATATTCAGTAGTAAATATTCTGTAGCGTTTTGAAGTTTGTGAAAATTTGAATTTTTATGTACTATTTTACGGTATTAAACATTGAAATACGTATTGAGAAAAGGACAGAAGAAAACGCTATCTTTTCATGATTACTGTGTTCATGATAAAGACATGCATCTATATAAAAAAAAAATTATACTGATTTGGTTATTTTTGATAAAGTTTAACAGTTAACAAAGTTATAAGTTTTATACACTGTACTACAAGGAACTTTCATCAGAAACAAAAATATAATATTCTAAATCAACATTTTGCGATATTTTCAAATGTGCAATTAGACTATTTCTATCACTTTTAAGTTTTAATATTATTAAAAAATAGTATTTTCATATAAAAAAAAAATAATTAAGAACAAAAAAAATTGTTTTAAATTAAAACTGACTTTGATTATTAATTCATTAAAAATAAGGAAAATGACATATTTAACCTATTTTTTTAATCGTTTAAAGTTGAATGTTTATAATAAAAAAAAATAATTTATTTTACAATAACTTTTAGCACAATTGGCAAGTTTGACATTGACATCATAAAATAGAAAATTTTATGACAATTAAAAAAATTGTATCGTTAAGATCAATATGCAGTCAGAAAGTTTTATAATTACTATTTATTGTAAATTTATCAGAAAAACTCATTATTTTTTGCATTTTTATCGTAATAGAACACTTAAATAGAAATCATAGTAATCATTTCTAAGTAATTTTTGATATTTAAAAAGATTCTACTATTGAAATATCCAGAACTGAATTAATTTTAATGATTTACTTTAACTAAAAAAAAAAAAGTTAATATTTTGAATCCCTCTTGTGGGCAGGTAAAGGGTTAGATTTATAAAAAAAACCAAATGATAGATAAAGACATGCATCTAAATAAAAAAAAATATACTGATTTGGTCATTTTTGATAAAGTTATAACAATTAACAAAGTTATAAGTTTTATACACTGGACTACAAGGAACTTCCATCAGAAACAAAAATATACTATTCTAAATCAACTTTTCGCGATGTTTTAAAATGTGCAATTAGACTTTTTCTATAACTTCTAAGTTTTAATATTATTAAAAAATAGTTTTTACATATAAAAAAAAATAATTAAGAACAAAAAAAATTGTTTTAAATTAATACTGATTTGATATAATATTTAATATTAATTTAATATTAATTTGATTATTAATAAGTTAAAAATAAGGAAAATGACATATTTAACCTATTTTTTTAATCGTTTAAAGTTGAATGTTTATAATAAAAAAAAATAATTTATTTTACAATAACTTTTAGCACAATTGGCAAGTTTGACATTGACATCATAAAATAGAAAATTTTATGACAATTAAAAAAATTGTATCGTTAAGATCAATATGCAGTCAGAAAGTTTTATAATTACTATTTATAGTAAATTTAACAGAATAGCTCATTATTTTTTTGCATTTTTATCGTAATAGATAACTTAAATAGAAATAATAGTAATCATTTCCTAATAACTTTTGGTGTTTAAAAAGATTCTACAATTGAAATATGAACTTAATTAATTTTAATGATTTACTTTAACTAAATTAACCAATCAAAACAAAGTTGTTAAAAAGATTTACTCAATTGAGCGTATTATAAAATTTGATTATAATTGTAAAAATCCATTGTTAATTCAGGAGAAACTAACAATCATTTTTTTTGGAAATGATATATATAGCAACATGTTACCAACAAATTTGGAATATTATAGTATAGTAGTAGCACACACAAATAGAGTAAAGAAATTATTAAATTATAAATTAAAATTATTTAATTTTGTATTTGAAACCTATCATATCAAACATGATTCGTCAATAAATATTTTGAAAACATTAGAAATGAATGATTTTAATTGTCTTTATGGAGAACGTGTAATAACTAACTGTTTAATTGATAAATTAGAATTTTTTTTTCAATTTTTGAGGGTAATAACTTCAACTAGATACGAATTGTATTTATTTGACGTATCGTTGAAAAAAGTAGGTCAAGTTAGAGCAGAGAAAATAAATAATAATCACAAAAAAAATATCTTATCTTATCTTAATCAATAATCACTATTTTTAATTCATTACTTATACCTTTATGGTGTCAAATATATTAAATAAGCTTATTAAATAAAATTTATCTAATTAAAAAAAAACTAGCACAGGGGGGTCGCGGCACAGTGGTGACGTAGCATTGTTGGATCAAGTATAATGATAGTGCTTAAAATCTTTATAAAAAAAAACGCTTTGATGCAAATCTTTAGATAGTGTTTAATTTTAAAAAATTGATAGATTATTCCAAAAGCTACAGGATCTGATATTTCCTTATTTATATCCTAATTAAGATAAAGTATGTCGAATAAAAAAGGGATATACATAATATTTCTTACAAAAAAATTGTTTTGATCCATGCACTTTTCAATAAGCTATAGCATTATAAAATTAAAAATAGAATCGAGAATTTTCACACAAAAATAGCATTTGGTAGTCATTTCCACCGTGAAGATAAAATAAAGTCCGAAATTTTTTTTTTCCATAATAAAGTACATTACAATAGCTTTAATTTAAGATATATATAAAAGTGTCAGTCTTTCCGGAACATTTTCAAAAGTTAAGTTGAAAAAGTTAATTTTTTGTAAAAAAGTTACCATTTTGAAACCCTTCCTGTGGGCCGTTAAAGGGTCAAATGTTCTCAAAAATATATAAAATATCTAAGGTATCTATAAAAAAAAAAAATTATATTTATTCGGTCATTTTTAAAAAAGTTATGGCAATTTTAATTAAAAAAAAATGAAAAAATATCGAAAATTAGCGATTTTTAAATTTGTAATTTTTTGGGGGATTTCCCCCGTTTACGGGGAACGAGGGAATTTTTTTCAATTTTTGAGGGTAATGTCTTCGACTAGATATTATTTGTGATCTTTTGACATATTGTTCATCAAAATCAGTCCAGTGAGAGCTAAGATTGAGCGTCCACAGACACAAAAAAAAATAAAAATAAAAAAATACATCATAGTAAAATTAATACCTTCTCAGCTTCGCATCAAAGCTAAAAGGTCAGATACCTGGAAATAACTAAAAAAACAGATTACCTGACATATCTCTAGTATTCACCCAATTTCTCCATTGACAAAGTTTAATTATACCACAATGATTTTGTAGTTTTTAAATTGTTAACAAAAAGAAAATAATTTAATAATTTAATTAATATATATGATTACCTGGAGCAGGTTTTATTAATTTTCCTGAGTCTGGATTAAGGAATCCACTAAAAAATTCTTCAAAGTCTTGTTCTTCATTGCTCTAAAAATCAATAGTTAATATATATTATACTCATATGATTTAATTAATATAAAAAATATAAAACTAACTAATCTGTATCTTTAAATAAGTCAGTGAACTGTTGAATAATTTTCAAAGTATAAACATATTTTTAAATTTTAATTAAGTATGAATCATTTAATAATTTTTAACGTCTTTTCTAATTATACACTCTTAATGTTATATGTGAATCTACACAACAGTATGGAATAGAATCATTTATTATTAAGTGAAAAAAAACCATTAATTTTAACACATACTCACTTAATGCATAAAAATTGTTGTAACTCAATAAGAAATTATCCCAAAATTATTATCGAAACATCAAAATATTTTGAGAAATAATCTAAAAAATCAGCTATTTTGAAATAAAAAAAAATTACTTTTTACCAAATTTTAAGAATGTAAGAATTATTTTTAAAAAATTATAGCAAAATTTTAATTGTATCAAAAATTAAAATTATATTTACTTTACATAAATTTATAAATACAGGATGATTGATTAAGGATAAGACACTTACTTTTCGAAAACTATTGAAAATTTTTTAATTTTATAAAGGAAAACATTGTTTGATTCAAAAAACTACAATAATATGTAGATAAATATATTTTTTTTCATTACTTCACGGATAAAAAAACTTTCATTTTCTTAAATGACAATCCATATATTTAGCTGAATGGTATGATACAAAAACAATTTTGTTCTTATAATTTATTTTTCTGATCAACAGTTTGTTTTTTAAAATTGTTTTAAGATTTATGATTTAAAATAGAAATTTATCACAAATTTGGTTTTTTAATACCAGAGGCAATAAATCTGTTTTAATGAGTAATAAATTGTTCTTATAGTAGTTAATTATTCGATTATTCGATTATTTAGTTCATGATAACAGCTCACCCAGTATCCTTTATGCTTTCTAATGCAAGGATATCTTGTATTAGATCAATTAAATTATGCATTCTGTTTGCTACCACATTCCATTATGTTTCTAACTAATAAATTGTCAAAGACAAAACTGATAATGTCTCTGAAATTTCTCAGACATTATCAAGTTTTAAATTTTATATAACTATTTTGAGATTTGAACAATGGGAAAGAGTATTTAAAAAAAGTATTGATTCATAAAATTATCAAAATTTTATAGCAATGGTAAGTTGAAAATATAAAATTACACTTCTGATTTTTCTGAATTTTTTTCTTAAAAGGAAATTTTTGCTTAGTCCCATAATTTTCCTATAGGGTTAAATAAATTAAAATTACAAAAAGAAAAAATTTCTAGGGTTACATCAATTGCAGTTTTCTATATATTTAATACCCCATTAAATGTAATCTATCTAAGGCCTTTCCACCTAGCAATGACCCTAACAATAAATGAATTGTTCTTATCAAATTAAAAAATTTTCTTTTACACTAATAAATAACTTAAAATATACAAAAGTTATTTTAGTTACCTTTATTCTGAGATTTTTCTCTATAATAGATTCATCGACATCCAAAAAATTTTTTGTTTGCATTATTACAACTTATTTACTGAAATAATATTTATTAAATTACAAAATAATTATTTCATACATTATATAATTTTCATAGAATAAAAACTACAGATCAAATTATGACAGTAGAATAAAAATTGAAGAATTATAAGTTAAAATAACATAGAATTTAAAACCAAGTTAAATAAGAAACATTGTTATATTTTTAACAATTATGATAAATATTATGATATATAAGCACATAAATAGATTATATCATAGATTTAATAACATTTATGATTATAGATAAAAATATAGAGATAACAATCAGTATAACGCCATTGTTACAAGTTGATACTACAAATATACAATTGTAATGAACTTATTGTCAAATTAATTCAATTTTTTTAATTGCCATAAATAAAAATACTATGAAATTTCGTTTTATTTTATCTAAAATTCAAATCTAACATATTTTTAATTTTTTTTTGTTTAGATAAAAAGGGAAAAAAAATTTAATACGTTATTTTTTTGCTTTTTTGTGCATCATATTATTAAACATACATCAATGACATTTTTGCCTTTAATTACTCTTTATATTTTTAATAATTTATTTTGCTGTGATATTAGAATTTTTTTAGTAAACAAATCTATTTTTTAATCTATCGATATAATTAAACAATACTGGAGCGTATACCACAGCTTTATAAGAGTATGAATGTTTACATATATAAACTTATGTTACATATATATAGATAAACTACGAACTAAGATAAAATGAAATGGACACGATAAGATTGGCGTGAATGGAAATATCCTTATCGAGAATACAAAATTTTAAAAATGAGTTGGGAAATAATAATATGAAATGTAATATACATGTAAAATAGTAGGTTGAGTTGGGTTGGCCATTAATTCAAAATTTTCCCTTACCCAACATGTGTAATATAACCGAATTGCCTGAAAAAGTAACATTAACAGTGATTTATAACAGTTACTACTTGAGTAGCAATAACAAGCTGTTACTTGGAAGACATAGTAAGAGTTACTATTATTTTGTGTTTTACACAAAGTCATCAATATTCACCAGTCTTTTAACATATAAAACAATTACACCACTGTTGTACATCACTGTAACAATAACAGTTATCAAAATTGATAACAAGTTGCCATCACCAATTTTAATATGTATAACAGTTTTATCACTGTTTATAAGAATTTTATACAAAGATGACATTTTTTGAGAAATAACAGTAACTGTTATTTCGAAAGTAACAATAACAGTTATTAAAATTAATAACAAGTTGCTGTCATTAATCAATTTTATCTTAGTTCGTGACACAGTTAGTTAGTTCTTGGTAATAATTAATTGTGTCGATGGTAGCAATCGTTTAACTATACTAGCGTAATATTTTTAAAAATATCTCTATCTTATAAATATTAATACCTTTTTCTTAAAAAATTTTAAAGTGTTCATTTTTGAAATATATGTTATGTAAATTATTTTAAAATTTACGAATAACCGAACCTTAAACAAATTAAATTTTAAATTATAGTCTATTATTGAGAAAGTACTATAGTAAAGTTATGAAGGAATTAAATGATAATCGTCAAGCCAACATTAAATTTATATCTGCTAGAAATTTGGTTCAAAAAATTGGTGTGTACGAATCAAAAAATGTATGTATTTCATTACTTTTAATTTACAGTGTGATTATTTAATTTTTGCTTTAGCAATAAAAATAACAGTTTAAAAATAATCTCCTATCAGATAAGTAGGGTAATTTTAAATGCATTTTCTTAAATAAACACACAAGTTATTGTTTCTAAATTGCATTTAATGTGATAGCAATACATATTTTTTTTTTTATCGGCAGAACAATTATTTTAAACTTAATAAATAGTAAATTTTTTTTTTCAAAACTTATTTTAAGGTTTATGAGTTCTTTGAAACTATTAATTTTATTGTATATTAAATTTAGTGAAGTTTAACTATTAAATTTTTATAAAACAATGCTTATATTAATTATTAATAATATTTTAGCGTTATTTTGTTGTTGGCTCTAATAATGCTAGGACTAAATTCCGTGTATTAAAAATTGACCGAACAGAAGGTCATGATTTAACAATTGTTGATGATCAAGTTGAATATTCTGAACATGATATGATTAGTGTTTTAAGCCTTGGTGTTCATAGAAATACAGGATTGAATAAAATAGCATCAGCTTTTGGTATTGTAGGTAAGTATCATCTATTAACAATTATGATATGTCAAAATTAAGTGTGGAAATAATATTCTTTTAAAATAACTAAAATGTAATGCTGTCATTCTATCAAATTGTTTAAAATATACTCTACTATTGTTCTTTATACACAATATTTTTTTATCATGTAATAATATCGAATATGCATAAAAAACAACAATTTTATTAACATACTACAATTTTTTGAAATTTCTAACTCCCATTTTTCTAAAATTATTCCAAAAATAAGCAAATTAATAAAATTCTGCCCTCTTATCAATAATATTAATAGTTAAGATTTTAGCCTTACATATAAGATTAAAAGTAGAATTTTTTAGTGTTTTAAAAATTCATTTAACAAAATAAAGTGTTCCAATTCCAAAGTTATTTTAAAAAAATATATAATAAAAATATATATTAACTAAATCAAAAATTATTGAATTTTTATTTCTTCATGATCCACCTAACTTATGATGATTTATACTTTTAAGTCATTAACAAATTTAAAGAACATAAAATAAAAATTCTGATAATAATTTTCTTCTTCTTATGGGTTACGGCCTTCCAGACTATCTCTGCAAACAAATTTACCGCCATCTTTCTCTATCCTTTGGAACTTCTCTCTATTATACATTTAGTTCTACTACTTAAAGAAATTTTTTGATACGATCCTCCTATCGTAAGCGTGGTCTACCTAATGATCATTTCTTAATCGGATTTTCTTTAATAACCGTCTCAATAAATGAGCCCTCTTTCATTCAAGCATGTCCAGTCTAATTTAATCATTTTCTTGTAATTTTTGTCTTTGGTACAATTAATTAAAAAAAAAAATCTGATAATAATTTAGTCTGTTGCTGACATGTAGCTTTTAAAGTTGTTCAGATATCCAAGATACTAATTTTATTTTTTGTTGGTAATAATTAAGTTAATGTACTTAATTATTACCTATTTATGTAGTTAAAGTCATTAAGTCTTAATTTATCTAAGGTTGTATTCTTTCCAAACGCTGGTATTTCTATTAAAAGTTTAAAAGTATTTTATCATTTTACTACTAATCTACTAAAATAGTATTTATTTTAAGGATTTGTTAAGTTACTAGAAGGCTACTATATGATACTTATTACAAAAAGACGAAGAGTTGCAGTTATCGGACAGGAAATAATTTATAAGATTGAAGATACATCAATGATATATATTCCTAACGATGCTTATAGAATCCCTAATATTAATGAACCACGATACTTGAAAATATTTCAAAGTGTGGATTTGTCAAGTAATTTTTATTTTAGGTAAGCAAATTGAAAACTATATTTTTATTTTTATTTAATAGACATAGAGATATCGTTTAGAGTGGGCCATAAAAACCCAAGTTTAAAAATATTTGTCCTAATTAAAATAATAATTTTTTACTATTAAGTTTTTGGAGGAATAATTACAAAATTTTAAACCTAATGGCTCCCTCTTAAAAATATAACTTTTGTATTTTCATCTAACTTTTAAATGATTTTTTGTTGTTTAGTTACAGTTATGATGTTACACAAACATTACAAGTCAATTTGGCCGTTGCTCAAAATATTCCAAGTATTAAAAAAAAATTACTGAAATTTCAAAGATTTTTTTAGCTTGTTTTATAAATACAGGATAATATTTCATCTTGTGTTAAAGCTTTCATGGATTATTGAATTGTTTGAAATGTTACGGATATATCCACATTTCAAACAAATATTTCATCATTTTAAAATTTAAGAATGCTGTATGAAATTTATTCCTGTGGTATTTGAATTATTTCTTCAAATTTTAATTTCATACTGCTTGATTACCTTATTATAGCTGTGTCTGCATAAAATTTAATATTTTGGTAAAATATGAATGATATTTTTTTATTTTAGGTTGTTGTTAAAAATTCTAAAAAAAAATACTTATATAGTTAATAAATATTGTAATTGTAAGTTCTTTCAAATCAAATTTTATTTAAACTTTTTCTTTAGGGTTCATAGTAAAAATAATCAAATACAAATTATTTATTTTTTAACTTTTTCCATTAATTCCTATATTCTTAACTGACTAAACAATTTAAAATATTACTATGTAACAATATAATGGTTAATTATATACAGGGTGTTCAGTAAGTCAGGAAACGGGTTTCTATTGTTCTCATTGTTACAAACAATATATATAATTATATATAATAATAATAACATACATCCTTACGGTAGGTGCAAATAGAACAGACTGATCTGACAATATATTACAAACTTAATAGGTTATATAACTAACAATTACATTACAGTGTAACCTTACAAGTATCTATACCTAAGGCAGGTATAGATGATATCTTTTGCTGATTAAAATCACTATCATAAAAACGCCTCAGTGCGAATCTCTAGATAGTTTTAATTTTAGAAGAAATTATTCCAAAAACAACATGATCTCTTATTTCCTTATTTCAATACTATTTACAATTTTTTTTAATTTATAAGTATAATAGATGAATAAAGTATAATATTTATTATAGTTGATATGTATTCAAACCTGTTGAAATTTTTAACCACTCGGTGGTATCTTTTTTTATAATTAAATCAGTTGTTCACTAGATACCCATGTGTTAATTTATTTGTGTCGCCTCAGCCCGTACATATTAATTTTGGTTGGGTATGGGTTTCATGTAACATGCAATTTTCCTTTAGTCGTAAACACTCCCTCACCTAATCTTTTTGCTAGTTGCACGGGGCCCAGCAACTGAGGATCATCGCTGGCGTAAATCTTTTTATTTGCACTGGATAAGGTATGTGCGCGGTAATACACCCAATCCCTTTCCTCAAAGCGTTTGCAGTGATTTTCACGGTAGGAATTGTGACCAGTGTCATTTTTATCGAAAGGTGACCCGAAATTTTGAGAAGGTTTCCTCCCCCCGGAAATTTTAATTTTCCCACTGAAGACGCACAGTTTTCGGATACACACCGGTCATTTTTCGGTAACGATTCCGTGAAATTATTTTTTTGTTTGATTGTGTCTACGTATTTCGGGTTATCATTCCGTGAGTTCGGTTGTTTACCCGTAGAAATAATGTCCAACAGCCAATCACGTGGGGCTTTGACTTCTCGACCGGAGGCTCGCTCAGAGGGAGTGCTCCCTGTTAGTCTGTTCTGACAATTTCTTATTGAAAAAAGTTTATTTGAAATAGAGCTGTCTGAGTGACATTGTGTTTTGTTGGCCAAAGCTGTACGAAGACCTTTTTTAAAATCTTGGTTTCAGCATTCTACTGGGTTCGCTGTAATAAATTGGCGTTGTCCATCCTTCTGTGCCCCACTTCTCCAGCGCTCTCTTTATTGTTTTGAAGACGAACTGCATTTCATTGTCTGAAATAAGTATTCTAGCATAACAGTAACTATAGAAGAAGTCTCTTTCTACAGTATCAATTAACAGATCAATTAGCGAAACGGTAAGTTCGGTATAATTGGGCACAAACTGACTGTACCAATCGTATACTTCGAGAAACTTCTATAGATCTTGGACTTTTTTAGGTATGAAGAATTCGGCAATTGCGGTTATCCACTAAATGTTCGAGGAGATTTATACGGGTTATTCCAAAACTATTTTATCGGTTAAAATGTCTATTCATGGTTTTGTAATCGTTTCAAGACTCGTTGATGACAAAATGCTTCTCCATATTCAATGAGTATACTACGATATCGTCTAGGTGCACAAATTTACCGACGTATCCACGCATAATTTTGTTCACCAACCGTTGAAAATTAGCCGAAGTGTATTTAAGGCCGAAGGCCATTACTGTAGATAAGTATAGATCCATTTGCGTGCGAAACACGTTGAGCTGTCTTAACTCCTGGGTAGAACTGACCTACTAATAGCCAAAATTAAGGTCGATGGTGCCAAAGACGTTAGCACCACATATTCCACGGACTATTTCGTGCAAATCGGGCATTGTGTATGCGTCAGATCCTGTTTGAAGATTCAGTCTTAAAGTAAATCTGTGTAAAAATTCCTTCGAATCTTGTTGTTATAAGTGAAAATGTTACAAGTGAAAGGAGTTAACTCCTTTGGAAGATTTACTGAGAAAGATTGTGGGACCTATAACAACTACGCGTTATTAGGTCTTGTTCCGGAGCTTCCTGAGATTCGTTTGGCAAACTGTTCTTGGAGAAAGTTGCTTGTATTCTTTGATCAGGATGTTTTGCATTACTCCAGTATTTCCGAAAATTCTCTCTTTAACATACGTTTCTTCCGCAGACACTCCATTTTTCCGGATTTAATTGCGGAAAGATGCATATTTTTGTACTTCTTCAGTGTCTTTTTGGGTTTCCTGTCGGAAACTTTGGTACCGGGCTTGCGCTTACAGTGATTTGGGCAGGCTAGTTTTTCTTGTCCGGTCGTCTTACCATGAACTGTCCGGGACTCTTCCCGTTTCCCGTCTCCACTGTATTTTGCTCTAAGCAATTCGCCCATCATTACCCTGTCCGGTTGCAATTTTTGCATTGTGCTACTCCGGATATGATTTTTTCTGGTTAAATTACTTCTTTCTTCGGTGGCGGTTTCTTATTTACCCATTTGAAGCTATACTTCTTTGCCTCAGGCCGCCGTTCCTGAGAAAAGTCTTCTACATCCAAGAAAACCTCGTGACAATTTACGAGTATTGGATAAATGAATGGACGAAATGAAGAATGAAGGGAATATTGTACAAAGTTACTACAATAATATTAAAATTATGTTCAAGCCGTAGCCAAACGAGTCTTCACTCATGGCTTTATTGACAGGGCCAAAAGTAAAATTAAAGCAACCATGAAAATGTAAGTGTACAAAATTAAAAACAATAAGTAGATAGCTGGAAAAATTGATTCAACGACCAGACCAAAAAACATATGAATCAAACGGCCAGACAACTGGACGGTGACGACACATATAAACCGGAAAGGGAGAACGTCGACATTAGTGCATACATAGTTGACTGTAGTGGTCAGTTGGGCGACTCCTTATCACGATGACAATTTATTATGAACGATTAATAATGATTATATAACAAGAGAAAATATAAAAAAAGGAATGTGCGACTAAATTACTATAAATCATTTAATTAAGTTATTACTAAATTTCATATTTAAAAATTGGTTTTGTTTCACCACGAAATTTACACCCTCAGGCAATAATATAAGTATTACCAATTGTCTAGCAGTTAAACTTAATTATGAGATGTTCTTTTATAATTAACGTAACGTCTGTAAAATAATAAGAATAAGTCAACTTCTTATGTCACAAACCCCCAAACAGATTATTTGAGCCAGCAAAAATGATCTGTTTTAAGACTGAAAAATTGATGGGATAAATGAAAAGTGGAGAATATTCAAATGATCAATTTGAATATAAGGATACAATTGAATAATAACAAGGTTTTAAATGGATCACAATAAAAGTACCTCGTACGAGTCGAGTTTCTGGGTGTTCTTGGACATAAGCATTGTCCTTTTTGAATTGAGTTACAAGAAATGGAACTTTATATGATAAATAAAATTTAAATATTTTTTTTATCCTTAACCCCAAAAATTAATAAGCTTATAATTAATTAAGTTTTAAAAATTTCAAATTTCTGAGACATATCATACTTTTAGTCAGTTAAAGATGTAGGTTCTTTATTTATTCATGAAACTATTTGGTAAAAATAATTCCGGTATATATATTAAACCCGAGCCGACTGTTATATTAATATATCAAGTACCTGAAAAAAGTTATGTACAAAAAATATCTATTCAAAAAATGAATTAAATATCAATTAAGTTGCTGTCGAAAAAAAATCCTGAGCATTCCTCCATAATGATTATAGATTCTAGAAATAAATTTTTTTTCTAAGGAGTATTTAAAAATTTAATTCGAGCTATTATTTATTATAAACCTCAATTAATTTTACTGACTTATATAATTTATATTTTAGAAAATTCAAATGGTGATCTATTATATATAACACGTAGTAACTCAAATAAAATTTTTGTTTGGAATGACTATTTGTTAAAGAATGTGCGAGATAAACTTCATCCAGATTGGGTCTTAAACATAATGCATGGTTTTATTAGCCAATCTAATGTGTCAATTTTCGGTCGTCCAATATACATAACATTAATAGCTAGAAGATCGAATAGATATGCTGGTACTCGATTTCTGAAAAGAGGAGCAAATAATAAAGTAATTTTTTCAGTCAATAATTATTGTATATATTTTATAGTATAAAAAAAGTTAATTAAATTCTTTTACAACATCCAACCAGGTTTTAACATCTGTAATAACTTTTAATAACAACAAATATTTTTAGCTTCGATGCGAAGATGAGAAGGTTTTACCATGATGTGTTTTTTTTTATTATTATTTTTATGTCTCCACTTTTTCTCAGCTCTCACAGGACCGATTTCTTTTAACAATACGTCAAAAGATCACAAATCGTATCTAGTTGAAGACATTACCCTTAAAAATTGAAAAATTTTCCCTCGTTCCTCGCAAATGGGGGAAATATCCAAAAAAATTACAAATTTAAAAACCGCTAATTTTCGAAATTTTTTCACTTTTTTTTCTTAAAACTTCCATAACTTTTTGAAAAATCAACAAATCAACATAATTTTTTTTTATACTAAAACCTTAGATATCTACCTTTCATTTGATATCATTTTTTTGAAAATCTATCACTTAACCTGCTCATTAGGGAGGATTTAAAATAGTAACTTTTTTACAAAAAATAACTTTTTCAACTTAATTTTTGAAAATGTTCCGGAAATACTGCGTCCTTTAAACATATATAAAATTAAAGCTTATTTTATGTACTACAAAATGAAAAAAAAAAATTTGTCCCGACGATCTATCTTCTATACGCAAATGGCTACCATATTGAAAAATATACTATTTTTGTATGATAATTATGGGTTTTGTATTTTATTTTAATAGAAGTTGATGTTGCTTTTGGAATTATCCATCAATTTTTTAAAATTAAACACTATCTACAGATTTGCATCGAAGCGTTTCCTAAGATAGTGATTTTAATCACTGTCAGATTAAATCTATACTGGACCCTAATATGCAATGTCTCCACTATGCCGCGACCCCACTGTGCTACCGTTTTTTTTATTTAATTCACTGATGAACACACAAAAAATTGGTAAATGCAAAATTTTTGTTTCTTTGTAGCCGAGAAAAATAACTTTAAAATTTGAACTAGCTAAATTTCTATTTTTATTAAGTGACGAATGAGACGTACGGTTTTTGAGACAGTAACACTTGGGTCTTTCACGACTGTGGCACTGAATTTTTTTTTAATTCTTTTTGAGTTAAAAAAAAATGTTTAACTCATTTGATTTTTATCTCATTTAAATTTAATAACTTCAATAAATATCAAGGATTCCATTACTGTAGTCTCCTTTCGTGAGAAAAAATTCATATTAATATTATTTTACTATGTGGTTTTTTTTTGTAGCTATCATTTATTTTATCAGCTCTCATTTGTCCTACTTTTTTGACAAATTTTTGTTTTAAATTAAACACTATCTACAGATTTGCATCGAAGCGTTTTTTATGATAGTGATTTTAATCACTGTTAGATATCATCTATTATAGTTGGGTCCAGTATAATACTGGACCCAACTATACCATGACCCCACTGTGCCGCCATTTTTTTATATTTTTTATTGTTATTTCTTTAAACAAACATAATTTGTTATTAGTTTTATAAAATTGGTAAAAATTTAATGTCTAATATATGCTATTATGATTTTGAATTTTAGTCGTAGACGGCTTAGTTTATTGAGTAAGATATCAATAATTCTGTTCTTTTATCATTTCAATGGAAACTGACTTACTAACATGTCTCAATTATTTTAAATATTATCGCTTAAGACAAAAAACCTCACGTCTTATTTTTCCAATTTTTAAGAGAGTTAAAAAAAAAATTAGTGTACTCACAATTAATTTTATTCAGAGTTTTATTGAAGTGAAACTTTTTCAAAGAAAGTCTAATAAAAAACAGAATATTGAATGTCACTGTTGGCTGTAAAGTATATTTTATATTATAATTTAGTACTATATTTTCAAAAATCAAAGTAATTTCATTTAAAATGTATTAATTGATTTAATTTCAAATAATTTTGATTGTGCATAAAAAAATTTTAAAGAAACGCAATACATGAAATTTTTATACAATATCTTTATAACGAAAGAAGTTTCACTTCATACTCGTAGAGTGTATAGTGCGTACTCGTAACACGCACTGGTTTTTATATTTTTTATAATATAGTAATTTATCTAAAAAAGTAAAATATTGATTAAAAAAAAATTAAAATTTGAGTTTTTGATTAGAATTACTTATCTAAAGAATGTGGCTTGTTCACTTTTGCCCATAAAAGAGGTATGATGTGTTGAGTCTTAAGTGACAATATGTATAAAATTTACCCTTTTATAATGATAATTTTTTCTAATATTTCTTTTTCTTTCCATAGGGGGAAGTAGGAAATGAAGTGGAAACTGAACAAATAGTTCAAGATGTTGGTGTGAGCTGTCAAAATCACTTATATATAAGTTCTTTCTTACAAATGAGAGGTTCTGTACCTGGTTTATGGAGTCAAGATATGACTAAAATGGTACCTAAACCAACAATATTATTTGAATTACCTGATCCTTTCCATGAAATATCTGGTACTTACAATGATTTTTATTTTAGTAAGAGATAGATGTTTTATTTCTCTCTTTTAAGGTCGACATTTTAATAATATTTATCAAAGATACGGATCACCAACTGTCATTATAAACTTGGTAAAAAAACGCGAAAAAAAAGTACATGAATCTCAATTAAGTGAACATTTAACATCAGCTGTTAAATATTTAAACCAATTTTTACCTCCTAGTTATCACATTCAATACATAAGTTTTGATATGTCAAGAATGAATAAAAGGTTCAATTTTATTATTAAGGAGTACCTATAATAAAAATAAATTTATCCTAACGTAGATTAAAAAACTTTTAGCAAAAATGTTAATGTTATGAGACGTCTCGATGATATTGCTCGTATGGCTATTAATAAAACTGGTATGTATATTAATAGTCCACATGTTGCTAATAAACCCAGTTTTGGATATGAAAAGAATAACATTGTTCTTCAAACAGGCATTATTAGAGTAAATTGTGTTGATTGCTTAGATCGAACAAATACAGCACAATTTGCTCTTGGAAAGTGTGCATTAGCATATCAGGTATATGAATGACATTTTTATGTTTCAATTTATATTCATAACAAAGGTATAAAATAGCTATTTATAAACTGTAATTCAAAAGTATGTGGTTCTTAAAAATTAATTTTTAGCTTCAATCTAAAGCTGAAAATATATTAGTTTTAATGACATGTTTCTTTTTATATATATATATATATATATATCTGTACATTTGGTCTGATTTTTCTGAACGATATATGACAATATTAAAGTATTTTGGTTTTGACTGCTATAATTTGGAAAAATTCTTATCAATTTCAATTATGATGAGAAATATCTTTAAAAAACTAAAATTGCTATAAAACAATTATTTTTTGTCAGAGGCGTCCCACCATGATGGTCGCCTTATTGGAGGTTTATAGTTAGCACCTATTCCCCGGCTAGTCAGTTAGTCATTTGTGCCTGGCGAGACAATTATAGATCAGAACATTATTTTTGATATGATTGATTAAATAAAATAGTGGATTGTGATTAATTAATTTTATCTTTGTTAAAAAGGAGTTATTAAGATGATATTTTTACTTTGACTTTACATTTAAATATTGTTTTCAAAACTAAACATTACAAAATTTTTATTTTCAATATTTTAAGTATCAATATTTCTAATGAAATATTTTTTTTTTTGTTAGAACATTTTTTTGCCCGACCTTAAGTAGTTGGAATAAAAGCGAAAAAAAAGAAGAACATTATTTACATGTTATTAATGCTTCAATATTTTGAATAATTAATCACATTATTTTACCAATATTTAATCAAATTCTTTAAATGTATAGTTAAAATACATTATAGCTTCGATGCAAAGCTGAGAACATATTAATTTTACAAAGATTTGTTTTTTTTGTGTCTATTACCACTTTTTCTTAGAACTCACCAAACTGATTTATTTCAATGATACGTCAAATGATCACAAATCGTATCTAGTCAAATACATTACCCTGAAAAATTGAGAAAATTTCCGTCATTTGGAATCTCGTTTTCTATAAATGGTGGAAATCCTAAAAAAATTTACAATTTATTTAATCGGTAAATTTTGGCATTTTTCCCATTTTTTTTACTTAAATCTGCCATAACTTTTTGACACATTGATGATGAGAAAGAATTTCTTTTTTAAGAGATATATTAAATATTTACTTATCATTTGATATGTTTTATGAACATTTGACCCTTTATCTGCCCACTGGAATGATTCAAAATAGCAAATTTTTCAACTTACTTTTGAAAGTGCTCCAGAAATACTGACACTTTTATATACATCTTAAATTAAAGATTATGTAATGTACTTTAATATGAAAAAAAAAAAAATGTTGAACTATATTTTGTCTTCATGGTGAAAATGGCTATTGTATTCAAAACTATGCTATTTTAATGATAAAATTGTCGGTTTTTTATTTTTAACTTTTTGAAAAATGTGTGGTCAATACAATTCTTTATGATAAATACTATTTACAGATGATCAAAATCTAGTAAGAGAGTCATTCTATAAGAAACTATTAAGAATTTTTAATTTTTGTAAAGAGAAAATATATTAAGTTCATGAAACTCTACAATAATATATAGTCAAATAACTTTTTTTTCATCCCTACGGAGATAAAAACCTTAACAGTTAAGGTTTTTATAAAAATAGGGGTTCCCATTCAAGAAATTTAAAGTTACTTTAAATTTCTTGAATGGGAACCCCTATTTTTAACTTGACATTATGACGAAAAAAAAATTACGAACAATTTTGTTCTTATCATTTTTTTTACACGAACAAAAATTTGTCATTTATTTTGTTTCATGATATCGACGGCAGTGTTTCTGGTATTATATGTCACTGCGATAGCAATAATCTGTTTCGAAAGCTCTTAAATTATTTATTATGGTAGTTATCATGAATATTTATACCTGTCTCTGTAATCTCGTAAACACAGATTGACCCGATTTGAACCTATGTTATTATCCGTCATTTAGTGTCTTGTAAATTTTTTTTGCTATCTTACTTGTCATAACTTAATCAATAAAAATTAGTTTATGTTACACCATCGAAAAATAATGACTTCTTTATTCAAAACAGAAAAATAACAATAGAAATTTAGTCTAAAATCATTCAACTTTAACAAGCTGTACAGACAGACGGTTGATCTGGAAAAAAAAATTAAGAGAACAAAGTTATTTGTATTTTTTTTTTTCTATTGTAATATCAAGTTAAAAATAGAGGTTCACATTTAAGAATATTAAAGTTAAGGTTTTTTAACCATGAAAAAAAAATTATTTAACTAAATATTAAGTTCATGTAAACTTAATATTTTTTCTCTTTACAAAAATTCTCAATAGTTTATAAGAAAATGAGTGTTTTACAATATTTCAATCACTCTATATATACTTCTTTCATTCGACATATTTTTTTTTAAATTGGACCATTTCCCTGTGTACAGGTGGGTTCAAATCTTTAAAATTTGTATAAAAACTAATCAATTATAACTTAATTTTTGAAAATGTTCTGGAAATACATATTTTAAATTAATGGTTATGTAAGGTATTTTAATATGAAAAAAAACCTTTGAAATAAATGGCTACCGTATTCAAAAATATGTTATTTTTGTGTTAAAACAAAAACACCTTATGTTCAAATGGCCGCCAAAATTAAACAAAAAATGTAATATTTGTGTAAAAAATCACCTACTATCCTGATGTTATTTTTGAACTTAAAACTGCCATAACTTATTGAAAAATGAACACATAAACATAATTTTTTTAGCTTCGATGCGAAGCGGAGAAGGTATTTTATATTGAAACTGTAAGTAATTCTCTTTTATTTGATATAATATTTTTTGAAAATCTGACCCTTTACCTGCCCACAGGGGGGATTTATTATAGCAACTTTTTTTACTAAAGTCAACTTTTTCAACTTAAATTTTTATAATGTTCCGAAAATACTGCGTCCTTTAAATATATGTTAAATTAAAGTTAATGTTTATGTACAATAAATTAAAAAAAAATAAATTTGTCCGACAACTTATTTTCAACGTATAAATGACACCTATAGTTAAAAATATTCCAATTTGTGTCAAATTTTTTTCTTTATTATAGAATACCCATATAAGTGTTTGCCATTGTAATGAATCATTCAATTTTTATAAAATTTACTTGAATCTAACATTAAATATAATTTTAAACTTATTTTGATTATTTTTCTATCTCAATGTTAAGAAAAGCGACTTTGAATTTGTGATTTAGTTTAAATAGTTCTTTTTATCTACGCGATGCTTGGTTTGAAGGTTTACAAAGTTCAAATCTCATCAGTCTAAATAACTTATACTTTATTTTTTTCTTAATTATTTTTAGAGGTGGAAAAAAATTCTAAATTAATAATAATAAATAACATTCAATCAAAATATTCAATGAATATCAAAGATACTATCACTTAAGTCTCCCCTTTGTAAGAAGGACTTTCTTATTCATATTAATATATATAACTGTATGGTTTATTTTTGTGTCTGTCGTTAATTTTTCTGAGCTCTTCACCCATTTTAATGACCAATATGTTAAAGAACACAATTTTAATCTTGTTGAACTTATAATACCCTAATATTGGAAAAATCAGACAAATATCTCAAAATTACGCTATTATAAAAAATAGCCGTTCCATAAAAAAATATTTTTTATGAAGTTAATGATTTATGATTAATTTTTATAAATAACCCATGGAAATTGTAATTTTTTAGTTATTTTTTTGATGCTTTAAAATTAATTTTTAAGAAAGTTTATATTTTAAAATTTTTGAACTTTTAAACACTATTTTAACTTAACTTGTAAGTTAAGAATTTATATCATTAAATAGAATTGATTTGTATAAATACAAACCAATTGACGTCCTTACTTCATTCGTTTCCTCTTCTCATTGTGTGTCCGAACCATTGGATTTAAGTTAATGTTGCTTTTATAATAATCCACCTATTTCCTAAAATTAAATACTATTTGCAGATTTGCATCGAAGCGTTTCTTATGACAATGATTAAAATTACTGTCAGATATCATCTATACTTGTCCCAACTATCCCATGTCCATACTGTGCTGCGACCCTATTGTGCTACCATTAGTAAAAGCATTATACGCTACTTTTATAAATTAAGATTAATAATCCAAATTAAAAAAAAATTGTGTAAATAATAAATGAAAACCAAACTAAAGGTAAATTCAGATATTTTAATGAAATTCTTCTTTTTTCATTTTTAGCTTTACTATTTAGGTTTATTAGAAACACCTTCATTAGAATATGACACAGACTGTGTACGTTTATTAGAAGTATCATATGAAGACCATGGAGATACTTTAGCTTTACAGTATGGAGGTTCGCAGTTAATTCATCGCATAAAAACCTACAGAAAAACTGCTCCATGGACATCACAAGGGAATGACATAATGCAAACCTTAAGCCGTTATTACAGTAACACTTTTTCAGGTGTGAATATTTATGAAAAATACATTTATTATTAATGTAAAATATTAATAAAACAATACAATTTTTAAATATTTATATTATAGTAATAAAAATCAATTATTTCATAATTACCATTATTTTCATTTTTTTTTTTTTTTTTTTATAAAAACTAATTTTTTTNTTTTTTTTTTTTTTTTTCATAAAAACTAATTTTATCTATACTTTTTGTCGTTTTTTACAGATACTGAAAAGCAAAATGCCATTAATTTATTCCTAGGATTATTTATTCCAAACGAAAATCAACCACATATTTGGGAACAAAATTATGACTATTATTTACACCATCCTGAAACAATTTCTTATTCTTCAAATTCTTGGTAATTTTTTTTTTTTAATGACTATTTCATAACTCATTCATAATTGTATTTTTTACCATTTTATTATTTAATCTTGTTAATTTATAGTATTTTATGTTATATTTTCGTAAAGTAAAGAAATATGTGATAACATACACATTGAATAAGGTGCCCAAAAGAAGACAGTACACATGGTCAAGTCCAGGAGACCTGTATAGAAACCAAATAGATTATATATTAGTAAAGTCGAGATACCGAAACCAAGTATTGAAATCAATAGCATTTCCTAGTGCAGTTAGCGACCACAACATTCTAATGATAACATGTAAATTAAAATTAAAAATAATTAGCTGGATAGAGAATGTAAAAAAGCACGTGACAGTTGGTGGGAAAATCAGTGTTTAAAAATAGAAGTGCTGCAGAATGTGGAAAACATGACAAAATCCATACACATGTCAGAAAGTTAACAAAGAAAAATAAGCAAAGAAATGCAAATAACATAAAGGATAAATTTAGAAACAATATAACAGAAAATGGAAAAATATTAACAAGATGGGGAGAATATATTTTAGAATTCTATGAAGGAACATACAAACCACAACATATGAATGCAGAAAAAGATCAAAGATTACAAGTAACTAGAGAGGAATTCGAACTTCCATTAAAAATGGTTTCAACAAAAAAATCCCCCAGCGTAGATGAGCTACCCATTAAGTTACTAAAAGAAGCGGACGAAAAATGCAGTTCAGAATGTTTAAATTAGTTAAGAAAATATTTAATTCAGGAGAATGGCCATGAAAACATACAACAACAGTAGTGATTCCAATACCAAAAAAGGCAAATGCAGTAGGATATTCAATTCAGAACAATAAGCTTGATACCACATATGTCAAAAATTATACTAAATTTAATAAAAAAAAAAAATTGATACACAAATAGAAGAAAGTATTTTAGACTGAGTATTTAAATGAGCAAAGAACAATGTTAGATAACATAAAAATGAGAAAATTACAATGACTAGGACATGCTCTGAGACATGATGGTAGTCCTATACAAGTAATACTTCAAGGTATAATAAAAATTGATCACTTGTGGCTAATTAATTAAGTTAAATTAAAACTATATTAAAAATATTATTAATTTAAAAAACTAAAAAATATTAAACTCAAAACCACAAAAAAATTAATGAAAAGTCGCGGATACGTATATGTGTTTAGCGTTGGTGATGGTAAAGTTGTTTCCGAAATACGTATCCGCGACTTTTCATTAATTTTTTTGTGGCTTTTGGTTTAATATTTTTAATATTTTTTAGTTTTTTAAATTAATAATATTTTTAATATAGTTTTAATTTAACTTAATTAATTAGCCACAAGTGATCAATTTTTATTATACCTTGAAGNAAAAAGGAAGAGAAAGACCTAGAGCAAATTTCATATCACAGATATGTGAAGAACGGGTCCTAAAATATGTTGATATTAAAGGGATAATAGAAGGCAGGGAGGAATGGAGGAGAATCGTAGAAAGGCAACACCTGTCGGAAGACTGAGAAACCTAAAGAAGAAGTATTTTATGTTATAGTGTTGTTTAATGCCTTATATTTTAATCTAAAGTAAGAATTGATCACTTGTGGTTAATATTATTTAAGATTAAAAATATATTTAAAATAATAATTTTAAACTAAAAAGTATAAAGAGTATATGTACTTGGAGTCCAATATTACCATTATTATCAAATAAATAAATAATTTTTAATAGTTTATTAGAACTTGTGAAAATGTTTACTTGTGAGTGTGAAAAAATACGAATTATTCCATATAAAGTAAATGTAATATAAAACTGAAATATTTTATTTTAGTGTTCCGTTGACTCAATGGTGGGATGATGATGTTTTAGATTGTTTACCTTTATCTTACGCTGAACATAAAAAACAATATAACCATATCTGTCCTTCAAATGCTTTAAAAGCTGATGATTTTGATAGTTTTGCTTATTTTTATAGAACTGATGAATTTAGTGTAATGTCTGAAAGTTATACATTCGAAATAAGTCACTCAGTGAGGTATGTTTTTGAAATTAATTTTAAATTATAATTTACAAGAATAATTGGTTCTAATTTTATTTATAATATACATATATATACAGTAGAAGTCCGATAATCCGGCACGTTCGGGACCGGCTCCGTGCCGGTCTATCGTGTGGTGCCCTTTCCTTTTAGTGTAAGCTTTGCTATAAGAACAATTACGTTAATAATTAAACTAAAAATACAGTATGCAAATACAAAAAAGTTTGTTCTACTGTTGGATACTGGATTATCGGACTTCTACTGTATATATATTTAAGCTCATTAAGGGCCAATCTCTCATTAAGAAAGAGATTTCTTAACCATTGATACTCCGGGACAGGTGGTTAGCCCGTTGCTGGAGAGAGGGATGGCAACTCCAAAAACAGGACTAGTCTTTCATTTGACAAATAAGGCCACCCGTAACTGAAATTCAAACTCAACATTACCGACTCAACCATAGTATCCCTCAGTTCATAATATATATTAAAAGATGATTTGAGGTTATATCCTGAAATTATATACTACAATGATTATTTTACTATTTTATTACTGTTTCACCCCTACTATTTATATTTACAGCTTTTAATAATTTTTTGAAATATATAATTTATATATTATGTATTTTATGTATTAATTATTAGGGAAAAATCATACTTGTCTTTGTAAAGTAGATAATTATAAATATCTTAACTTAAACATTCATGGAGATATTATATTTGTATTAAAAATATTAGCTAAATTATTTTTTTATTAGGGATTTCATGCCAAATTGTGTAACTGATTTTAGTCCTTTTTCAATAAGAATTAGACCAGGCAAAAAACGAGAGCAAATATCAGATAAAACAAAAAATCCATCCATGACTGGTAGTTCTTCTACTAACTCAATTAATTCAAGTAGTAGGTAAAGTGAAAAAAGTTATGTGTTATTTACAATTATTTAAATTCTTCAATATATTTACATTAATTTTCATTTGTTGTTTAGCTGTGGAACTAGTGAAAGTGACGATGATACTAACTATTCTAAACGAACTGAATCTCTTAACATTGTTTCTAAAGATAATTCAATTACATTTGATATACAAGCAGAACAAATTATAAGTTATGGAATTAACTTGTGTACAATAAAACCAAATGATATTGCTACCTATAAAAAGTATGTAACCATATTTTTTAAATTTATTTGTTAAACTATTAAATGTTCACAATGAAATGTAGACAAAAACTTATAACTATTTGAAATTATAAATTAAGATTTTATACAATTTTTTATAGCGAATAAAAGGTGTTTATACACATAGGTTTTCCGTTATCCTTATCTTATATCCTTTTTATAACTATGTATATAAACAAATGTGAGCAACACATTTTCAGCCACCAATACCCAAACTAGCAATATTCAATAATTAACCCCTATAGTAGTTATCAAATTTCTTATAGCAATTAATGATATTACAAAAACAAACATTTTACAGTAAAAGCCACATTATATGTTCATTATGTCAATATACTTTGTTCAGGCAACAGCATAAAAAATATTAAGTCATCGCCTCAAGAAATATTATACAATTTATAAAAATGGTCAAAAAAATCAGGTTTCTCTTTCTCAGCTATCTAATCTCAATGTATCTTATTCACTAAAAAAAGAAACAATAATTAAATCAATGTTCAAATAATGAACAAGACAATACTAAATAACATATTCGTACATAAATCAAACTGGAAATATCATACATAACTATTAAAAACAGAAACCTTACCTATGATCAATTTACTAAAATCATTTGCTCACGAACAATGGGAAGCATTTATAGAAACATTGCTTATTATCTGTAAAGCGCTTATATTGATAAAACTTGAATATTCATACTGTATCGTTCATACTTAATAATTCTTGAAAAAATGTTTTAAAATTAATCAACACAATGCACAATACTAGACTACACCTTACCGCAAGCGCATCCAGATTAAGTCAAGTATAAAGTTATTGAAAATAAATTGTTCAACTTTAAATATTGCAATATGTTCATTAATCATACATTTGAAAATCAAATAGTCGAAGGACTTTTTAATCGACAAATCACTCTAAAAATATATTGATATTTAAACTGAAAACAGCTGAATATATTTATGTATATTTTGTATATACTTGAATATTTAATCTGAATATAAACTGAAAATTCCTATGTTAGTACTGACTATGCAACCTCCACTAAAAATATACTATTTAACATTTTTTTTTTTTTTTTTTAACTACCCTACTGTACTTTTTATTGAGACCATCATAAATCTTAATCAATACAATTAAATGGTTATAAAAATTATAAATACACAATTAATAAATATACATTTTTCTAATTAATATATATATACTAATATAACATGAATGGGATTTACACTTCCAGTTAAGTGGTCCCTAACTTAGTCTGATAATAATATTTAATATTAAAATTATAAAATAAATATTTATAAATTTAAACTAAGTCATAACGTAACGCGTTTTAAACGTCTTAGGTCATTGGAATTGTCCAATAGTTGAATTGTCTCTATATTTTCATGGTTTTCCAACCTTATTATATGCTTACGTGCAAACCGAGTGACTTCATCTGCTACGGTTGGTAACATCATATCTCGATGAATTACATCATTTCTATCGAATCTGTAAGCCGCTACGATTGTACGAATCGCGATATTTTGACAACGTTGTATAATATCTATGTTGGACTTACTGGCACAACCCCACAATTGAAGTCCAGACGGGTTTTACGATCGCTACGTATAACAGACGTTTGTTCTCTAGTGATAGCTCAGAATGTTTTCGAACTAACCAATAGAGTCCACGCATTTTATCCTTTATCTGCAGTCTTTTCTGGCGTATATGATGTTTCTAGTTAAGGCGGCAGTCAAGGTGCATTCCCAGATATTTAGCCAAATCTCTTTGTGGAATTATTTGTTGATTCAGAAATATTGAAATGTCACATGTTTTACGTAACGTGAAATTAACGTGCACTGACTTTTCATTGTTAACCCTGATCTTCCAACGTTTCAACCATGTAGAAATATTGTTTAAGGTTATTTGAATCTGATCAGTAGCTATCTGTTGATCTTTATTAGTTGTTAATATTGCAGTATCATCTGCAAACATAGCGGTTGTTGAATTTATGTTGGTCGGAATGTCGGCAGTGTAAAGTAGATACAATATAGGGCCAAATACACTACCTTGTGGAACTCCAGCTTCTATGTTTTTCCAATTAGTTAAACCTTCGTCATGTATGACGCGGTACTGTCTTTCAGTCAAATAGGACTCGAATAGTGTACAACATGAGTTTGGTAGTTGTTCACGCAATTTTATAAGCAGGCCTTTATGCCAGACTTTATCAAAAGCCTGGGCTATGTCAAGGAATACTCCGCAACAATAATTTTTTTCTTCAAACGCGTTACTTATTACGTTTCTTACACGATGAATTTGAAGAATATGAATATGAAGAAGGTTGCTCTGGGGGGTTGCCAGGTTTCAGCAACATGATTACTTGTGCCTTTTTCCATTGTTCTGGAATATAATGTGTGCGTATTATAGCGTTGTAAATATGAGTTGGATGAATGATAGCTTTTTTTGGTAATTCTTTCAGAATACGAGGGCTTATTTCATCATAGCCCGGTGCTTTTTTAGGGTTGATGTTTGTATCAATTTCATGTGCAACTTCTAATGGTGTAAAGTGCCGTATTTTGTAATCAATTTCGTTTGATGGTTGGTATTCTACTTGGTCAAGTTCAGAATTTATGTCGTTCGGTGGAAAAACATGTTCTAAATGAAGTGCATATGCTTTTGCTTTGTCCATATCAGTACGCGCCCACATACCATCTTCTTTACGAATAGGAGGTTTATAAGCTCGAGGTCTTTTCGTTATTCTTGTAGCTTTCCATAGAGAATAATCGCTAGAAACTAATAAATAGTCCGCTTAAATATAACTTAAATGTTTCGTTTTTAACTTCTTTGATTTTCTCACGAAGCGCTTTACATAAGCAATTCCATTCAGTTTTATCTGTTAAATTTGAGTCACTTGGTCAGTATGTTGGTTTTCTAGTAGAAATAAACTCAGCTTTGTTGTAATTAGCTGATTTTAATAGTGCTCGTCCTTTAGGGGTAATAATTCTTGATCCCCAATGAGTATATTTGGCGTTATAATCACCACCTACGATAAAAAAGTTGCCTAGAGTTTGGAAAAACTTATTGAATTTATTAAAGTCAGCGCCACCTTCAGGTGGACAACAAATTGCCGAAACTGAGAAATCATTACTCTCATTAATGACTCTGACTTTTGTTGCTTGTATGTGCATTGATGAATACTTTTCAAGTTCAAAATGCTTGATGCATTGTTTTATAATAACTGCTGTACCACTACGTGCTCTACTGCTTGAATGTAAGGTAGTATAGATATTGTAATTTTTTATTTTCAAAAAAGTCCATGTGGTGAAATGTATTTCTGAAATAAAAGCTGTATCAATGTTCTCATTACTTAAGAAGTCTTCGAGTTCTTGTTTACGCTATACTAGCCCATTGGCGTTCTAAGCTATGATACGTGATGTATGATTAATTTCTTCTTTTTGTTTTGATTGTTAGACTTAGACTGGTTACTTTCTAACTTATCAAGTCTACTTGTCATATTTATTAAAGATTTTGTTATATTTGTAAGGGCTGATAAAATTTCCATTAAAGCTGAGTTATCACTTTCAACCGGCTGTATTTGGTTGTTTTTTAAGAATAACGTTTTTCCATTAGAACTACTAACTATTTTAGCATAGGAACCATACGATGTAACAGTTTAGCAGGTTTCTGTTGGAGACGTTGCACTGCGGATGTTTTTTTTACGTGGATTTTTTCTTCTGTTTTCTTGTAAGCTGAACAGTCTTTCCAGTTAGCGGTGTTCTCCGCAATTGGCGCATTTCGATTTTGATTTTTTCGGTTTTGGACAATCTTCTGTTCTATGTTCTTCACCACATTATACACGATAGATTTTTTGTGACAATAATTTTGAGTATGTCCAAAGGCTTGGCAGTTTTTACACTGTGGCACACCTTTTTTTTCTTCGGATGTGTCTACTTTTATTTTATGATAACATAAACTATTTAAGTCGTATATATCTTTATTGTTATCTCGATGATCAAGGTCTACCAAAAATAACGGTAATTTTATTATTGTTTTTTCACTATTTTTGTCACTAGGATTTACTTTTTTCCTAATTTGGATGTTAGTGACATCCCTTGCATAATGACCATTATCTGCTAGGGCTCTTTTAATTTCACATACTTCAGTGTCAGGGTGTAACCTCTGATTACAATACGAAACTTTTTTTCTGTTTTTAATTAATATCTGTGATACTCAATTTTATTTTTTTTCAAGTACTTTTAAAGTACGTCTGAACTGGTGTTCATCACCAGTTATAATTTTAATATCGCTGTTAGCAATAGTTTTTAACTGTTGCTCATGACTAATGGCTTCTTCGCGAGTTAAATTAGAAATTAAATCGTTGTACTATTTAACATGTATTTAAATATTAATCCAGTCAAAAATTTACGTCGTGATAGAAAGTTAATGAAGCCAATGTTCAATGAAAATAGTTCTCCCAGAGGTGTCAATGTTTTTTTGATAGTAAAAAATAAAAAAATATTACAAGATCCAACATTTAATTCTATTTGTATTTCATCAGATAAGACATAGAAACAATGCGAATATTCCAATGCGTTACGTAAAGAAATTAATGACAGAAAATCTAAAAGCGAGCAAAATAAATTTATTCGGTACATTAAGGTAATCCAACAATTCTTTAAAACTCAAAAAACATGTAATTAAGTGCAATGATAATTATGTTTTTATCAGAAATAGAAGTAAATAATCAAAGTGTTCGCAGTATTAACAAAAAAAATTATTTATTACATATTATTCTTTCGGTATTAGGTTAGGACAATAATTATTTTACAGAGATATGGCTTTTCAAAATATAAATAATACTAACTTGGAGTTTATAACTATTTACTTTTGTGTTTAGATAGAAATAAAAATATTAGCTCATGTACTAGAAGTGGTGGCACTTTAATAACTGTGCATATTTCAATAAATTTATCTATGCTAAGTGTTAATATTATTAATAGAGCAAC